CCACCCTACTTAGTAAATATTCATCAAAGCTTAATTTTGCCTTTTCTAGAAGATCAAGCTCATTAGCAGGGCTTCTGGAGAGTTCTCTCTGGGCTGCAGGGGCCAGCTGAGGGAGCAGGGGTGCGGGGGAGGGGGGAGGGGCGGGGCCAGGACTGCACTGGCAGCCCGGCGCCCAGGGAGGCTGACAGGGGAGGCTCGGGGCTCGAGGCCGGCCCAGGCCTCACCTCCGGAGGCCGGCAGATGGCGGCCAGGGCAGGAAGGGAGGCTGTTCCAGCCCCGGCCCAGCGCCCCACCCCCCACCTTGCCCCAACCGCTTCAGGCCCCCCAGGGGTCCTGCTAGGCAGGGAGCTCAGGGCACCCGCAGACATCAGAGCCGGGGTTCCCTCACAGACACCCCGAAAACACACCGGCCTGGGCGTGGGCACCACACCCACAGACCTGCCACAGACGGACGGATGGACAGGCAGATAGCCAGATGGACCGACAGACAGATGGATGGATGGACGGACAGAGAGATGGACGGAGAGACCAGATGGATGGAGAGACCAGATGGATAGACTGGTAGACAGACAGAGAGATGGACCAGATGGACAGATGGATGGACAATGGAAGACGGATGGATGGTGGACAGGTGGACGGAGAAACCAGATGGATAGATGGATAGACAGACAGAAGACAGACGGACCAACAGACAGATGATGGACCAACAGACAGATGGATGGACAGACCAGATGGACAGATGGATGGATAAGTGGATAGGCGGATGGACCGACAGGCAGACAGAAGGACAGACAGAGCCAATGGACAGATGGACGAGACAGACAGATGGGCAGATGGACAGGTAGATGGACAGACAGATGGGCAGGCAGATGGGTGGACAGATGGCGGGATGGGCGCCGCCCCGGGGGTCACGTGGGGTCACGGGGGGCATGGCGCGTCGTGGGCACACAGCAGCCGAGCCCGGGGGGCTCCCGGCTCCACAGGCCCCAGCACCCCATGTTCTGAGCCCACCCAGGACTGAGCCACACGCAGAGCCGCGTCCGCGGGCCAGCGCCGGCTCCACACAGAGCTTTCCGGAACCTTCCCTGGGTTCCCACAACCCCTCCCGACCGCTGCCCGGGCCTCAGCCGCAGGCCCTGGACCCCAGGACGGCTATGCCCATCCGTCCCCCAACAGCTGCCGGGGCTCCAGAACCTTCTACGCAGAGCCCCAGAGCCTGCCCTCTGTGGGAGAGCCCTGGGGCCCTGTACCCCCAAAACACAGGGGTCCAGGGACAGGGGGACAGCCCAGCCTGGACAGACATACAGACATGCAGACACACAGAGACAGGCAGCCAGCCCTGCTGCCCCCAACCCTGCACCCCAGAAACTCAGGGGCCCAGGCCGAGGGGACAGTGCACCCCACAACTGCTGGCTGGGGGCCTCGCTGGGGGGCCCTCCCAGACCCCAGGCCCGGCCAGACCCCAGCAGCCCTGGGGTGCGGGGCGGGGGAGAG